TGAATGTGGTTAGAGGCGCATGGGGATTTCAATGAAAAACAGAACTTCTAGGACGCAATGTTGTTGTTCGGCGAGAAAGGAGGCCTCCAAGTGATAAATGTCTGCTACGTTTAAGCATGATTTCTCTAACGGTTTTCCGTACATTTACTGAAAGAGATGTTAGATGATGGTGACAATGCTTGTAACATTTGGGCGGTGGGGTAACCTTGTGGTCACTCGTCACGACGAAGACCCGGGTTCGATTCCCCACATGGGTACAAATGTGAAGTCCATTTCTGGTGTCCCCGCCATGATATTGCTGGAATATTGTTAAAAGCAGCGTAAAACTCAGTTCACTCACTCATTGTAAGATACTGTCATACTCGATAACTGCCATTGGAGGTCGGAATCTGGTACCCTTTAACCTATTTGTTGATCCTGTGAAGGTTAGTAATTATACTCTGATGGTCAATACGGTTCCATGATAGATGGAGGAAAGCTGACAGTAACAGATCTTGCCATGAAAGACGAGAAGAAGAATGGACATGTGAATCTGATCATTGTTTATCGCGTGTGCACACGAGTTTTGATAATGCACTGGCACAGATACTCAGGGCGTGCGGTAGCCATATGGTTAAAGCGTTCGCTCGTCACACCGAAGACCCGGGTTCGATTCCCAACATGGGTATAATGTGTGAAGTCCATATCTGGTGTCCCTGCCGTGATATTGCTGGAATATTGCTAAGAGCGGCGTAAAACTAAACTCACTCTATTTTCTACAATCTTTAATACGAAATTGTTGTTGAATAAGACTAAGGTTCCAACTTTCAAAACATTCAGTACATCTTCACTGATGATATTTGAGGTTTGGTTTGTTGTTTTACGCCGCAATCAACAATATTCCCGCTGTATGGCGCCGGTCTGTAAAAGTCGAGTCTGGACCTGACAATCCAGTGACGAAAAGCAAGAACACTGATCTACGCAATTGGGATACGATGAAATGTATTAACAACTGACTGACTGACTGAGTTTGGTTTTACGCCGCTTTTAGCAATATTCCAGCAACATCACGGCGGGGGACACCAAAAATGGGCTTCACACATTGTGCCCATGTGGGGATTCAAACCCGGGTCTTCGGCGTGACGAGCCAACGCTTTAACCATCAGGCTACCCCACCGCCCCAAATGTATTAACAAAGACAGCGGATCTGACCATCTGATCCCGTTAGTCGCCTGGGTTACTGATAACCAATTCTAGCCCGCATCTTCACTGGTTCATGTTGTTTCAGGTGAATCAGATCTGAAGTGAAGTGAATACCCTGCAGGTCATATACGTTATCATTCTTCCGAGCTATCGACCCGTGAAGGTCCGGGGTAGAATATTGGCCTTCAGTAACCCATGCTTGTCGTAAGAGGCGACTAACGGAATCGGGTGGTCAGGCTCGCTGGCTTGGTTGACACATGTCATCGGTTCCCAATTGCGCAGATCGATGCTAATGTTGTTGATTACTGGATTGTCTGGTCCAGACTCGATTATTTACAGACCGCCGCCATATAGCTGGAATATTTTGTGTGCGGCGTAAAACTAAACTCACTCACTCACTCTTCCGAGCTATCGAAATGCCGTTTTAGGTTAAATATTTCGTTCACTGACGTTTTTTGGCTAGGTTTCTGTAGATTTGTGCTAAATCCCACAAGTTTGTTCTTTTTAAAATAAGTAGAACAAAATAAACACATTTTAAAAAATACTTTACAAATGAAAGGTTTCAGAAAACATTATGGATGGATAAAACAACGTCGACTGCACAGAACGCGAAGTCTCGATTGTCAGACGAAAGATATTCCACTGGCCTTAAAAGGTAAAACAAGAGAGGTGTGAAATATGTGAATGGATTACTGAAAATTAGTGGTGACATTGGGCGGAGGCTAGGAGGAAAAACATGTCTTGTCTTTCTGGCAACATCTGGCTTCGTTAAATAATTGTGTTTCGAATGGCGAGAACAATAAACAGCATAATCAATCAACAGAAAGGTGTAAAACACGGAAAATAGGGAGTCAGTATGTTTACCCGGAAACTCAATAGTGAGTGAGTTTAGTTTTACGCCTCTTTTAGCAATGATTCAATAACATCACGGCGGGGACACCAGAAATGGGCTTCACACATTGTGCCCATGTGGAGAATCGAACCCGGATCTTCGGCGTGACGAGCGCGCGCTAAACCACTAGACTACCGACCGCCCACGAAATTAAATATAGAGGGTACAGATTTACCCATAGATATCGCGATAGTGTTGTCAATAAACATTGTTACATTTTTCTTTTCAAAGAGAATATAGTGTATTCGTTTCTGCTTTTGTGCGCTGAAATTATCTTCAATTTGTATGTGGTTCACCGGGATGAAGAAAGGATGACAATCGTGCAGACTGCGTGGAACGCACGTGCATATCATGCGTAGATTTACACTCCGGCACAGCGATGACTTAACATAACATCACTGCCACAGGCTAAATTTGCATATCACGTGACCGGACTTGACTCACGAAAGCATTTCGGCGCTCTCTTCATAATGTTTTACATTGTTACATATATATTCTTCCACAACTGCGACAGTAAAGGTCTATGACGAGTACATATTTAGATATCAAACTGGCTGCATCGTTTGCTCTCCATCAGCTTCGATGACAGCACGTGGAGCCGTACAACCTATGTAAACAAAAGATCGCTACGCAAATCGAAATAGTGTTACATGTTTTGGGATATTTTCTCAATGAAACTAAACCATTCTATCAAAGATGTTTAATTAGTTGTGTAGACTCGTCAAACATAAAAGAGTTGAGAAATACGTAAAATTATATTGAATGGACGGTGCAAGATGTGACGAATCGTCACATTTTCTGGCCTAATGGCAGAGCTACTATGCTGGCTTGCCGCATGGAACTCTGGGTAGGAGAGTGGCGTAGATTGCCACAGTGCGTGGACCACGTGGAAGGTCACCATGTGGAAGGTCACCATGTGGAAGGTCACCATGTGGAAGGTCACCATGTGGAAGGTCATGGTTTTACTGATTTTGATGGATTATTGGTCAAATTGAGTGAGTGAGTTTAGTTTTACGCCGCACTCCAGCAATATTCCAGCTATATGGCGGCGGTCTGTAAATAATCGAGTCTGGACCAGACAATCCAGTGATCAACAGCATGAGCATCGATCTGCGCAATTGGGAACCGATGACATGTAATCAACCAAGTCAGCCGAAACTGACCACCCGATCCCGTTAGTCGCCTCTTACGACAAGATAGTCGCCTTTTTATGGCAAGCACATGGGTTGTTGAAGACCTATTCTACCCCGGATCTTCACGGGTCGATTATTGGTCAAGAGTTTCATAGCAGTTTTAATGTAAAGTTATTTTTCATAATATAATTGTTATTCATTGTTATCATTGGGTGGTATGTGGTGTGGCAAATCGTAGTTCAGATCGTTTCTGCTCTCCCATATTTGCTTATTTTTGTGCGAAATAGGTTCAACTCTTAAGGCTGTTGAGAATGGGGTGTTCGGGGGTGTCGGGCGGCAAACTCCCATTGTTATTTTAGAGATCTAGAATTGGTCGTCAGCAATTCATGCTTGTCCAAGGAGGCGACTAACGGGATCGGGTGGTCAGTCTAGCTGACTTGGTTGACACATATTCCAATTACGTAGATCGATGCTCATGATGTTGATCACTGGATTGTCTGGTCCAGACTCGATTATTTACAGACCTCCGCCATACAGCTGGACAGTTGCTGAGTGCCCCGTTAAACAACTAACGATCTCTCGCTATAACGAAGTGCTTTAGGGCACAGACAATGCAAATACTTATTATTATTGGATATTTATATAGCGCACATATCATCGCAACTAGTGCATGCTAAAGGCGCTGATACATCTACCCTCGATCATTGGATGTTAATCCCAACGGCACATCGTATTATCAATCTCAACTCCCTGGGGGAGTATACAACTCTTGCTGCCACTAGGCGCACCGAGTTATTGTGGCTTTCTCATCCTAACGAGGTTGGTATGGTTTCAAGAAAAAGTTGTCATACATTAGCTTGTGCGATATTTTACAGTTCGTCGTGTGATTTGTGTGAGAAAAACGATTTTTTCTTAAACGTAAGAAAACCCATTGTACGAGGATGAATTGTGTAGAGCTTTTTTTTAGTATATATATATATTCCCCAGTCGTCATATTGCTGGTAGTTACGTAAAATCATACTCCTTAATTCACGTGTTACGAGACAGAATGGGACAACTTTACAATGGTCAGCAGTCCGAACTTGATCTTACTGCATGAACGAATATGGGTGAAATAATAACCGCATATACCACAAGGTCAAAAACATTCTTATTCTAGTTGAAATATTATTAACTGCAATGTGCAGATATTTTAATAAAATAAAAAAATGAATGGTTTTGTATATATTTATTATTTATTATGTTTCCAATAAAAACATTGAGGTAGAGGCATCGGGCTGTCAACCCCGATCTGCCAAGGGAAAAGTTCTTCTCGAGGTGCGATACCGGGAATAAGGTGAGGCGAAGCCGAGCCTTGTTCCAGGTATGGAACAGAGAGTTGGTCAGATAACACACACGCACACGTTTATGTGCAACTCAGCACAGCCAGGTAGGATGACCCCAGCTGGTCAGGCGCTGTTCCATCAGCCGTTTGGCATCCCCCGATGTGAAGCGTGAAAATAGCACAATATTACATGATGGTTTCTTACTAAACAACTTTTTCCGTGATGATCGATAATAAAACGTCCGATTTCAGATCCTGTTGGGTACAGAAGTTTCAGGACCATGTGTCTTACTTATGTTTTGTGCACTTATCCCAATTTCGAGTTATTTAATCATTTGTCGTTCTCATTTGAACCCAAACGGACTATAAGTGTGCGAAATACGTTCCTGCACCAGAATCTCGTGCAAGTCGAGCTCAAAACAATCACGTGCAATGTAAAACCACGTGAATTAAACTGCCATTACAGCAAATGAATTGGGACAAGGAGATGGTCTTGACTTCTCAGCGAGCTGCGACGACTCTGTTCCAAGCCGGAGTGGATTTTGAAGCAAACTGGTCATCTGGTAAATATCGTGCCCTACATAGCATTTGTCTATATCTGTATTTGTACTCAGAAAAGCTATACTCATTACCGCCTATCTAGCGGTTCCTTTTTCGAAAATATTAGGATATTGGTAGTCATATTTAAGGTCACGTGAACCAAAAAATCAAACATAATTAAAACACTATTATCACTTATTCATGACATATAATATACATTGCTGATTATGAAGAATCATATAAACAAAATTATAAGCGTACAATCGCAAATCAAAAGTGCAATATTGTGTACTTGGGTTTACTTCCCTCGATACCGAACCCAGACGGGTCAATAAAACAGACATTGAGTTTTGTCTGTGACAAAGACATATCTATATCACTGTTAGAAATTCTGTCAACGCTAAATAATGACATTGCTTTTAAGTATCGAACTGAGAAAGTGACTCGGTAAGAAGAACGTGTGGTGAAATAGACAAATGAAATTATATAAATCGGTAATCTACTGTCATAACATATAAAAAGCTTGCGCCTGTGAAATATCAACAAAACATTAGAAAAATAGCTCACACCAAAGCCGTCACCGAGTAGTCACCGGACAACCCGCTTCCAAGCTGTGCTATGAGCGCAGTCCAACGCAGGGCAGCCCAGCTGTTGAAACCACTTTTCCCCCCAAGCGCTGGGGGAAAATTAGTGTATCGTTTGAACTCCGATTTCGCGCGGTTTTTTTCATTGCGTTATTTTTCAACTTTATAAGTTGAATTTGCAATTTTGATGATTTGTTTCTGTAAGTCCATACCGAAAGGTATCAGAATCTGCAAAGTTGTGTTTTACGTTGCATGTGACCTTTAAGCAAGTTAAATTCACAGATAATGACGTAATCTAAATTAAACTGAATTGCTTGTAATGTATTGATGTGTCTTATATGTAGATGACTATCTCGTACCACTGTCCTATTCTTCTGATTAACGCTAAGGGACCCGTCACAATTTGTGTGGGTGTGGGTGTTATGGGGATGCATGTAAAATGTGAATGCTCCCCCCTAAACTATATGGGAAAGATTTCCTCCCGTAACCCCCGTTTCCTTTTAAATCATTCTATGCCTAAGAATATAGGCCTATGGGTGTTTATGAAAAGAAACCTTACCCTAAACCCCTATCCTAATCCTAAACACTAAGAAAATACATTTCAAGCGTGGGTTACGGGTTAAAAAGATAACACTTTATATACCACGCCCACCCACCCCAACCCGTAGTGCATGTGTACAAAAATGACACGCACACGCACGCACACACACACAACAAACCTCCCAAGAACAAAACGGGTGACACGCCCCCCAAATCTTCATCACACACACACACACACACACACACACACACCACCACCCGCCCCTAATTTGGGAATTTATCTGATTGTAGTACCATTGTTTTTATACAACTGTTGCAGGTGTACGGGCGTACAAGAGAGTAAATGAGGAACAAATGAAGATGGTCAGCAGGATTCTCACCAGTAAGAAGCCAAAAACCGAGGAAGTACCATGCAAAGCGGAACACAAGGCTTCAACTCCAGAAGGTATTTTTTCTTTCTCCCAGTGGAAACCAAATGTTAGAGAAAAATTTAAAACGTTCTCATTTCTAAGTCTTCTAATGAAATTAAACGTTATTGGTCAGGGGAAAATGCACTGCTGATAGGCCACAGGGGCCCACCGACCGAACTCTCATTCCATTGGTCAAGAGTTTGGTCTAACCCCAAGTGTATTGGTATTTGAGATTTTCATGAACAATATGCTTGATACTGATTAATGTAATTTGTTGGTAAACGTCATGTTCACGTTCTAGGAATGTATCATCAAATTAATCATTGTTGTAACTCAAATTATTCATTACAAAACTATCTATGAGGATCCTGTATAAACATCTATTCATTTTTCAGATGATTCAAGTGACCCTGAGGAGAATGGAAAAAGGGGAAGGAGGTCCCGCCGGTTCCAATTTATTAACTTCATTGTGCAGATATTGTGAAAAAATACATCATTTTGAATGGTTCTGTATTTGTTTATTTATTGAAGATGTTTCCAACAAAAACATTGAGGTAGAGGCATAGGGTTGTCAGACCCGATCTGCCAAGGGAAAAGATCTTCTCGAGGTGCGATACCGGAAATAAGGTGAGGCAAAGCCGAGCCTTGTTCCGGTATCGCACCGAGAATTGGACAGATAACCGTCCTAGGGGATTATATGGTAACCCACCTTTGGTTATCTGATAACCAACCCCTTGAGAGGTCGTTCACAAAAATTCATAACCCCAGATATTGACCCGATAATCAACCCACGTGGTATATATTTTAATGTCATTGGAAAGTTCTTGATGAGATACTGAACTATACAGCGTTCCAGTGTGTACGTGTGCAATTAAGCGAGGGCAGGTTGGTGGTGAGTGTTAGCTCGTCACGTCGAAGGCCGGAGTTCGACTCCTCATGTGGATACAATGTGTGAAGCTCATTTTGGGTGTCCCCCTCCGTGATATTGTTGAAATATTGCCAAAAGCGCCGTGAAATTCGACTCACCAATTCACTCACTCAACTTCTAATGCAGCTCTTAAAGGATAATTTTTAAACTAGACACTTTTAGCCCACTACTTAAAGAATATGTATTCAGGCTCTGGTTAAGCATCTGCGGCTAGCAAAAGATGAGAGGGTCGGGTAGCCTAGTGGTTAAAGCGTTCGCTCGTCACGCTGAAGACCCGGTTTTCGATTCTCAACATGAGTACATTGGGAGACTCATACACAGGTTGCCTCGTCAAGTAGACAAATCGTGGCGGTATTATGCACTGCTGATCCCCAAAACGTCCATTTTAATTTCCCATCTTACCCAATCGTCCTTCAAGATATATGGCGGCCAGAGGTTGAACTGTCTTTGCAAAACCCTTTTTTGCCCAAGCCTACCTCCCTCCGTCATCTCGACAACAGCCTGGTCTATCATATGCCCAAATGCTTGCCTTCATTGCAACTCCGTCGACTTTTTTTACAGCATGATGTCGAACAGGGACACATTACATCCACTTAAACATAACCCATCCTGGCAATGTCAGTAAATGCCTCAACTGGAACACAGCGTCCGAACCTTCTAATAAGATAAACCACTGAAGTCACAAGGAATCAGCCATACAATGAATCTGTCTGATTGTTCAGTACATCGGCTCCAGTCCTACAAACACACATGTGTCGTGAGCAATACCCCTCTCACCTGGTTATGTAGACCGCGGGACTTAATTCGAAGTGTATTTCCCAATGGTAACGATTCTTGGTAATAGACAGTGTAGACTTTGTAACACGAAAGACGGATTACTGAATTACTGCCTGACAGATTCCCATGATTATAGTTTCCAAAGTCATTTCCGTACGTCACGTCGATAGAAACTGCCGATAATAATACGTACGCATGTCAGATCAACGTAATCTATACTCACATTCATTTATACGAGCACAGAATGTCTAATCGGTCCTTGCAACCACTTTGCAAGATATGATGGCATCCTATTCTTCCTGTGGCGGTTGGGTAGCTTTGTGGTTGAAGCGTTCGCTCGTCACCCTGATGATCCGGGCTCGATTCCCCACATGAGTACAATGTGTGAAGCCCATTCCTGGTATCCACCGCCGTGGTATTGCTAGAATATTGCTAAAAGCGGTGTAAAACCATATTCACTCACTCACTCCTATCCTCCCGTGGAACACTCTTCCATTAAAGCCCATTTCTGCTTCTGCCGACGTGATGCTGCTGGAATATTGCTGAAAGCGGCGTTGTTCTAACCAGACTCACTTATTAGATAAAACGACAAAACCGTTTTTACGTACACAAAAAATATTCGGTTGGACGATTTTAACTTTATCATGAGCATGATAATGAATCGCAATCGAATAGTGATAATACCAGGTGTTTGCGAAAAGGTGAACATATCTGGTGGCACCCGTCATAAACATAATGGAAAGGCAAGTCAATTCACAATTCATACGCCTGTGCAATTGTTCACCTGAAAAAAAATTAGGGAATTTCATCGCAAAACATTTTGTTTTTCTTCCACATGTCAACAAAATGTCTTCGATAAAAAGGTGATTTTGTGGTAAATTTTTGGGGTAACTATTTGTATTGAATTTAATTTTTGATGCTCGGGTTCTTTGTGTAACGCAATTTTGAAGTTGTCCCGAAATTTCGGCAAATGTTGCCATAAGCTGAACCTCTTTAGATCGATACTCATGCTGTTAATCACTGGATTGTCAGGCCCCGGACTCGATCACTTACAAACCGCCGCCATATAGCTGGAATATTGTTGAGTGCGGCGTAAAACAACCAAACAATCAACCAAACATGTCTGATTGAAAACCTTTGCATATAAACAGATCCAACATGTCGACTGTAAATTATTGCGGAGTGCGGCGTAAAACAAACTCACTCACTCACTCGACTGTAAATAGACGACAGAAACAATATTGATTACTTGAAGAACAAATTATTTTCCTCTTTGGTAGATTCTCATGTTCTGTAGTTGAGATGGAAATCCTTCACACACATCCAATAACAGATCTTTTATCAATCTATTTACAGATGGTTGGTGTACTTTATGTTTGCAACTTTGCTCTTTGGAGGGAGCATCAAAGGATTCGTATTCCACAAAACATCTTTGGTTTCACTGTTATTGAAATGTTTGTGTGCTTAGATATACTTTTACAAAATGCTTTTATCGTAGTTTCTGTGTATTGATCGTTTGGATCACAAATAATTTATTGTTTCAAATATGTACATGTAGTCGTGGTGTGTTCCTTGCCTTGTGGGGCGGTGAGGTAGCCAAGTGGTTAAAGCGTTGATCTTTGCTCGTCAGGTTGAAGACCCGGTTTCGATTCTACACATGGGTACAATGTGTGAAGTCAATTTCTGGTGTCCCCGCCGTAAATAGTGCTGGAAACCCATACTCGCTCATTTAATAAGAAGCCAAGAAGATAGGATGATTTCAACTGAATGCATTTGGCCAACAATTGCCATCATATGAACTGGCATTACCGAGTCTGTGAGCTTCATGACGTATACACAGTTCAAACCTGGTCAGAAGTATATACTTTTAATGGTGACCAATGCTAGGTTCAATTTCAACTCAATTTTACGTTCAAGTTGAATTTTACAAACCTTAAATTAGCACTAGAAATACACACGTTAAGCCAATAAGCCTTTTGAGACATGAATAAGACAAAACACGTGGGATGGGGATAAGACAACCTTAATTTGCTCCCGAGATAGTTTTGAAAGTAGTCCGGAGAGGATCAAAACGTTATCCCCCAGAATCCACAGCCCACAATCTTCCTTTGAAGAAGTCATAGCAGAATACATAAAGAAAATAACAATATTCAGATGGTGTCCTGTCTAACCTCGGCCTCATGACTGCATTGCTGATTAGTGTTTTATCATGCAGGTCTTGACCTTGCCATGCCCTGGAGTTCAAAGTAGGACATTGCCCGCAGAGATGATGTTTTAAACAATAAGGTACCTTCATAAGAATGTGGTGGTTTTGATTTAGTCGTATGATTCTTAGGATTTGAGAATTTGTAATCTTAGGTTGATAAAAGCCACATCAGTGCATTTCCACTAAAGATGTAATTTTGAGCTTCATGGGCGTAGTTTTAAAAAAAAATTGAATTGTTATATTTTTGTTAGGCACTATAAACACCCTCGTGGAGGTCGGTGTTAGAATTGGCCATCAGCAACCCATGCTTGTCACAAGAGGCAACTAACGGGATCGGGTGGTCAGACTCGCTGACTTGGTTGTCACATATCCCAATTACGTAGATCGATGCTCATGATGTTGATCACTGGATGTCTGGTCCAGACTCGATTATTTACAGACCGCCGCCATATAGCTGGAATATTGTCATCGTACGAGTATCCCAATTTGCGTATGTCGATACTCATGACGATACTCAAAAGGAGCCGTGCCAATTTACACATATCAGAGGGATACACAAAGTACGTGATTGAGACTACCAGTTGTCAGAATTGACTCTATTTGCTGGCGATTAAGTGCCTTACTCTGGGAGTGTGGGTTTGGATCCTTGATGGAACTCAACCCAGAAAAAGACTTGAACCTGTACCTTTATGAGAATGTGTAATCCCAAATATTTCACACGTTATATGTTTCGTATGTCCCTGAACACGGACCAAGGTGATAAAGATGGAATATTTATTAGTGCGGCCTACATCCGCGTTCTGTCACTCTCGAAATCGTTATCTCAAAGCTTTGATCATTCAACTAAGTGCTTGTTAATGACGTTTTAGTAATAAAACCCCAAACATTTCAGTCGTATCAGTCTACTGTAAATAGTTAATATGTTGATCCATCGTCAATGCCGTTCACGTTCTCTCGTCACGCCGAAGACCCGGGTTCGATTTCTCACATGGGTACAATGTGTGATGCCTATTTCTGGTGTCCCCCCGCTGTGATATTGCTGGAATATTGCTAAAAGCGGCGTAAAACTTAAACTCACCCACCCTATGATGCGACGGCAAGCCAATATTAGTTACACCAAATTGTTGTTTTCTTACAACCAGTTTTGAAATGAGGTTGTTAATAAATCATTGATAACTATTACAAACTATTTGTTTGTTTGTTTGTTGTTTAACGCCGCACTGAGCTATATTCAAGCCATATGTCAGCGGTTTGTAAATAATCAAGTCTGGACCAGACAATCCAATGATCAACAGCAGTGTATGAAATAAGCCCAAAATCCAGCCAGACATCAGGGCTGGATACTTCAAAATGTTACCAGCCCCAAAATGGATTTAACCAGACCAAATATGGTGAATTTACTAAGATTTATGGAACTTCTAAAATTTTTACCAGACCATCGGGCTGGCTAGCTGTAAATTTAGACCATCCGTCAGACATCTAGACCGTCTCGGTCGGTCGGACGGGCCACTCAGATGTTGGTGGCGGGGAGGTGGATGGGTGATCCTGTTTTGTACTGCCCTGTACTGAATCACATGTTACATGTCGTGTCTCCTGT